TTTTTTAATTTATTTATATATTATTTATACTTTTTATTTTAATTTAAAAATATAAATATAAATACAATTAATTTTAAAAAATACCCTACATATTATTTTAAAATTTAATAAATTATATTTAAAATATTAAATTATTGAGTATAGAATTAAATTTTATATTTTTAAAATTCGATATTACAATTATATCTTTTAAATTTTAATTTAATATATAAGTTAATTATTTTTATTTTTATTTTATCTTATTTATTTATTATTATTATCATTATTATTATTAGTAGTAGTTGGGATAAAATAAGATTGTAAAACTGTGTATTTTTTCAAAAGTACCATTTTAAGGTTCTCATCAGAAAAACATTTTTGGAGTCCAAATTCTACTTATTCTTTTAAGTAAAATAATACAAATAGAAATAATTACTTTTTTTTTTTCAAAAATATAAGTAAAAAATACTTTTCAAAAGCCCAAGACTTACTACTACTTGCTAACATTTGATATATTACTTTATTTTCAAAACAAAAAAAAAAAAAAAAAATCTCAGTGCTCACTATTACTCCTTGGTTAAAAGCGAATGAATGACCAAGATCTAATACTTAGATCAGACAGTTCAGATCATGTCTAATAAAAAGGATACGGATCTTAAACCGGGTCACGGGTCAAGCGTGGGTCAAGGCATAAGCAAGGTAAGTAGGCACGGATGCGGGCACGGGTCAGGACCTGGTTTAATTTGAGCTATTTTCTTGGTGTGATGTGCCTTATTTTGGGTGGATCCATGGACTAAAAATCCAACACCAACCCTACGAGAAACATCATATATCATAATAGGGTCCAATAAGGCTTCATATTGCGCTTCTATCAGAAAATCATTCCTCTGATATTAACTGACTCGTAACCTGTGATTCAAATTCTGTCACATCTTTTGATCTACATGATTTGATGGCATGTTTTTGGAAGTTTGTAGTGGTTTAGCAAGAGCAATTTCCTTTATATTCATCTATTTTTAAAATTTTGAGCTTATTTCACTTTGATGTGCATTTTCATACAAGTCACTTCTACTTGGGTGGCTAGCAATGCTTGTACTGTTGTTAGATCAGTGCATTTATTCTTCCAGTGGAAATGTGTTTTGAAAAAGGATAGGAATTCTTACTGTTTATGGATCATGGCAATTTCTTCATAATATCACTTAAAGTATCTATGAGTAAGTGAAGAAGTTACAGAATCAAGTTCATGCAAAAAAAAGTTTCCTCAAAAGACCTCTTTGTATTTAGTATGAGAAAAGTGTTTTTTTAGCCCAATAACTAACTTTCTTTATCATTTTAATCACTTAATTGGAGTTTATATAGAAAAACATATCTCGTAATTGGATTTTTTTGCACAATTGGTCCTCCGGCACCGGAAATACGCACTTGGCACCCGCCTGCCATGCTGGAGCGCACCTGTCTTCCAAGTAAGCGTCACCCGCTAGACACGTGAAAATTTTTATAGTTTCGTAACTGACCACTCTTATCATTTTAGTCTAGTAAGTGAATTTTTTCTTATGTCTACCTGGCAGAGATATGTTTTCCGGCATGTCAAGCGGGTGCCATGTGCATATATCCAAGCCGGATGACCGATTGTGCGAAAAAAATTAACTTAGGGGATAATTTCTATATAAACTCTAGTTATGAGACTAAAATGATAAATAGATGTCAATTACGAAACTAAAAATACAATTTTTCCTATTTAGGCCTCATACAATTTAAACTTTAATTTATGAGTATATATTAGAGAACAATTCAAAGTAAGCTCAAAAACCTTATATTATTTTAAAACAAATAATATTCCAAAGTAAACTCCCCAAAAATGAGACCAAAAATTTTATATCGTGTTTACAAGATGAAAATTTTTAAAAACAATTTGAAATGTACTTGACGAGGTACATAAAAAATAAATTATCTACATTTTAATTACGAAAACATGTCATTTTTTTCTTCTAAAATCTCAATTTTAGCACCGAGTCCAAGTCGAAATCAAGAGAATTAAATATTGATTAAGATTTCAAGAAAAGTAAACCTAAGTCTAGCGAAATTGAGATTATATTCTATTTGAATGAATTAAAATAAACCATTAAATAATTGAATTAAAATGGTCACGGGTGTTTATGAATGTGACTTAGTTAATTGAATTTTAATTGAAATTAAACATGATTTTTTATGAAACTGGTGTGACATGCTAAGGGTGGTGTATAGATAATACTTATACATTGTGGATGTAAGCAAAGATAGAATACATGCACTATGGTCTGTGGGTGAAACAGAGATGATATATTATATATATATAAGTCCTACTAAAGATTGTTGCCCAAAGTTGTAATCAAACTACAAATTTGAGTGAGACTTCATTGGTATTAAACATTACATTGAACAATATACTAAGCTTCTATCACTTGGTTACTATTGTCCAACTAGAACACTACTCTCTCTAACATGTATAAACGTTATACTAGACCCCATATTGGGGTTTTTATAAAATAATGGGACTAAGCATTGCTTCAACACTCTAAGTATGAAGCTGGAATTTTGGATGTAGGCAAAATAAAGAATAACGATATCTTTCATTAATACTAAGAAAGTGAATTATAACTACTTGTTACATTAAAAGAGAGGTTGGAAGAAGCATCCTTGTCATAGATAGCTCAAGCTACCTCCACTAATCCTCGAGAACTACTTGCAGCTTAAGCACTCAAGTTCAAGTTACAAAACATAACAGATGAATTTGATATTTTCTTTATGCTACAATTTCTACAAATTAGATCCTATTTATAAATTTCAACTAAGAATTTTAGGAGGTGTCCTTTACTTTCTCCATCATTTGAATCAATCTTGGTAATCCAATCTTTTCAAATTTAATGTAATATAAAAGGTAATGATCACCCTCCCAAAACTGTACACAAATTATGGTTAGTCTTGAAGGATAAAGCTTTGGTAAGGGTGGTCCCATATGGTAAGTTTAAATTTGCACATTGGGTTATATAAGGTGGGGGCAACAGTGCAATAAACATCACTGGCATTCAAGTCCTTCATTAGTGGTGCCCTTGTGTTGCGATCCTTCAATAAAAAATGGGTGTTAAAAAATTCAACTGAGACCGGATTAGCTTTACAGAGTTTAGCCACAAATATAAAGTAATGAATTTAAGGAACACAAAGCACATTGGTTAATATTAGAGGTCGATAGGTGGTGGGTAGATGTATGTATCTTGTGTGAGATATAGGAAAAAAAAAGTAGCATTATCCAAGGAGACATTGTCAAGACCGCCCAATCAGAGAAGGCTTGTAGAGAGGATGGCGTTGTAATGACATGGTGAAAGGCCCCAGTATCCATTGACCAGTGTGATGGGACGGGAGCAGTACCATGCGAAACTGTGGCATTGACAACAAGTGGTTCACCTAGAAGAAAACCTGAGAGAGGCACAAGATGCATATTGTTGTCACATAGAAAATGGCCCAATTTCCAGCAATCACGAGTATCATGGCCGGGAATATTGTAGTAGTTTCAGAATCGGGAAGGCCGGGCACCGGGGTGCACGTTTAGAGCCTCGGCCACGTCTTGAATTTTTGAAGCCTTGGGGAGGTGGCTGAAAAGACTGTTGGATAGAGTAGGAACCTGGTGCCATTTTATGTGTGTTATTTGTTGTGATGACAGCAATAGTGAATATGGAGTCTTGCTTATTCAAGTCTCGTTCAAAGTCAACCAATTTGGAGAATAGTTCAGTGTAGGAGATGGGAGTTCCTCGGACTCTTGTGGCTGCAACAATATTGTTGAAATTCATCACCAAGTTGACTCACACTACCAGAATTTGTAAGAATGATTCGGAAAATTGCTTCGGAGACACTTCCGAGTCTATCATAATCATTTTATTAACTTTGTTTATTTTTAGCCTCGGCAAATCCGAGTCCATTGCTGGGGACTCCGAATCTTTCATGGAAAAGGTCTCAGCATTTCCGAGGCAAGTGTTTTAATATTAATTGAATGAGAAGAGTCTCGGAATTTTCGAGGGAGACTGAAATGTCTCATGAAAAAAGTCTCGGCATTTCCGAGGAAAATGTTTTAATATTAATTGAATGAGAAGAGTCTCGGAATTTCCGAGGGGGATGGATATGTCTCGATCAAAAAAGTCTCGGCATTTCCGCGGACGGCATTTCCGAGGCCGTGTTTGGTAGGGTGATATTAATATTTTGCAACCAAAAGTCTCGGCATTTCAGCGGACGGCATTTCCGAGGCTGTGTTTTAATTAATATTTTGAAAGAAAAGTCTCGGAATTTCTGAGACTAATGTATTTTTCAAAAAAAGTTTCGGATTTCCGATGCTAAATTTAATATTATTTACATCAATACCTTGCCTTAGACAATTCCGAGACTATGGTCTATTGTCTCTTCCACCCTTATCTTTAATTCTTTTGCTTCTTTGGCTTCAATTATTCACTTGCCTTCGTCTCCACCGCCTTCCTCTCCATCGCCTTCATAAGGTATACTTTCTCTGAAAATTTTATTTAACTCTAATATTTCTTTAGTTAGAATTTACCTTGTTTGGTTAGAAATTTAGTTACTCTTAACATTAAGCATCCAATATTTATGTGTTAATTTAACTGTTAAAGTTTATTAATTAATTATTATGAAATTTATTAGCTAAATTCTTTTTATTTAGTTACTTTTTATTATAGTTAAAAATATATATATTATACTCCCTCCGTCCAGCCACAAAGTAAGCATTTTGCCATTTTTGGACGTCCAAACACAAAGTACCAATTTCTTTATATAGTAACTATGGCCCACACTTCAATTTACAAATACCCCTGTATCAATACAAATTACATCAATGCCACTACATTAAATACATATACACTATTTAACTTAATACATAAATTACACATTAATTAAATCATTAAACATTTATACACAATTACACACATACAAAACTAAATTAAATCACACAAAATTAAACACGAACCAAACAAACTCACCCTTTCTCATATCGGCTCATCCTGTCTCTTCGACGTTGTTAGGGTTTCTCTCACTCTTTGATCTCTTCGCGATTTGTTCTCTCTTCACCGTCGATTGCGTCAATGGCCAGTAATGGTGCCAATGGTGCCGGAGCTAAGCACATTGGCGAAGTACCTGGTATCGTTGTGCCCTTTACAGCTTCGAATTCGGGTTTGAGAGGTTCCTACGGCGTCAAAGGGATACCGCTGTCTAATTCAAATCTTTATACATCTGTTGTTCCGGAGACCTCTCTGACTTTCGAGGGTGAGTTCGTGCCTAATTCCGATGATATAGATTCAGATCTTCATAGATCTGTGGTTTCGGAGACTTTCGGGACCTTTAACGGCGAGTATGCACAGGCTCCGGTGATTAACTTTTATTTTCATCTTATATTTTCATTTTGATTACGTTCGGGATCTTATTTTTCATCTTGATTAAGTTTTTGTAAACCATTTCTTTTTGTAGCTTCAGATTTACTCTTGTCCGAGGTGCCGGAATCTCCTAACATTCTTTACGGGATGGTTGTGCCGGATTCCGATGATGAATCTATCGCTATTGCGCCGGTGGGCATAAACCCTAAAGGGATGGTGGAGACTCCCTTGCCGGAGGCCACTCTACTGTTGTCCGTGAGGTTGTCCTTGAGTTCTTGAGAATTTATTGTCCTCTTGCCATGTCATTGCTCGAGTTCTCTAAGGTATACATTACGTTGTTTTTTTATCGGAGTTTGAAGGGGAAATTACATTTTGCGGGTTGAAATAAAAATTTTCTAAACGTTTTTTCTGTGTAATCTAGGTTCTTGATGTGTGAGTAATGCGTATTGTTTGGAGGCTTACTGTTAAGTAATGCAACCACATGTGCATTACAATTGATACACACATGGCTTACTCAATGCTAATTATAATTTCATAGTGTACTGTCACTTCCTTAGTGTGTGAGTAATGCATATTGTTCATGGAGGCTTACTGAATAGGTAATGCAACCGCATGTGCATTCAAATTTGTACACACACTGCCCCTACTCAATAAAGATTTTTATCGGAGAGAGTAGTTTAAATATACTTCTGAGAGTGAGTTGACAACACTCTATGATGACAAACATTGTTTTGACATTCTTATATATTGTCAATCGAACCAAAAAATATTATGTGATACAAAAAGTGTGAAAGTTGTAGACTTTCATGGCCCTAACCTATGCAATTGATTTGTGTTTATTGCTTAAACATCCTCTGTAAGTTGAGGTGTTTTATAACAATAAACATAATTTTTACATACTCAAAAGTCTTTTTTACTATACTAAAAAGTTCTTCCTACCACACTAAAAAGTCCCATCTTCTAAAGTTCCTCAAGAGAGGTTATAAATTCTTCCAAGTCTTCGACTTCATTTGCATCCATCAAATGATCAATAGATATCTTGATCATTTCATGGTCCACTTGTAGGTCTTTTGGGAGATCCCCTGTCCTCCTTAAAGAGTTTTTCCCTATACGAGGGATCTTGTAATTGTTTGAGCCAAGATTGACTATTATTTCACCAAGACATGCTTGCAAGCTTACAAAAACTGAATCTAAAGTGGTGTGTGAGAGCTCTTGAAATGATTTATGAACTGCTTCAAGCAGATCATCCACTGTGGTACCTGGTATGGTAATTTGTAAAGATTGCAATGCCCATAACCATCCCAAATCATTTACATTTGTGTCGGGCTGTTTGGTGGTTGAAAGACCAAATTTATGTTGAATCCATCACTGTTTGCTGCTTGTCTGAACTAAGGATCATCGTTATTGATGTGAGGCTTTGCATTGTCTTGCTGAATGATAATGTTTTTATCCCTGTCGATAGGCCATTTTTCCTTTATTGCTGGATCACCTGTAATAACGTCACCAATGAGGATTATTTTTATAATTCTTATTTAGGAGACTTATACCTGTGATAATTAACCCAATGATGATATGTTTATGAGGGCTAAGGAAGTTGAGTCTTATTAATACAAGGTGTAGTAACATACCTTATTAATTAGAAGCTCCTTGGTGACTTCCTTAGTGATGGATTCCAATGGTTTAGTAACCATTGTTCCAGCTGCCCTGTTTTTTTATTTTCTTAGGGCTGGAACTTTTTCAATAAAAGGAAAAATGCCTATTTTACCGTCAAATATGCATTCTCCACTCGGATCATACACAGGTCTAGCAACTGCACATAAAAACATTACCTTGGTGATGAATCTTTTACTTTGACAGGACCGATATGGCTCTGTCTCATCCGGTGTTAGGTAGTACCTCTCGGTCTCCTTTGTGAGATTGAACCATTTTTCATCTATATGCGCAATTTGTGACATGCTTCTAAATTGGACTACTTTCAACTCATTGTTAATTTCCAATGATTTGAGGCCAAACTTCAACCTCTCTATCTTGTTCTTCTCACTTAAAGAAGGCTTGATAGCATTGGTGTGTGGCCTGATAAGTCCTGCCTTTGCCCAGTACCCCACAAGACTCTTACGTACATGCATCTCTTTTGCTATATCTCTATAAGTCCCTCTTTTGTGTACGGGAATATTTTGCAAAGTGGCTTTACAAATGGCTTCTTTTTAACACGACATAGGGCTCTTTTCTTACTACACAAAGAAATAGCCTAACCGGATTGCAACTGTTCTTGAGCTTTCTTCCATACTCTATGAATCACCTTTCTTGTAACACCAAACTTGAAACTTGCTTAAGTGAATTTGCCATACGCTGGTTTTCCAGTCGTTGAACCTTGCAGCAGAAATTGAGCAATGCTCTTTACAAATTCAGTGCTTAAATTTGGCTTTCTCATGTTTTCAGCCATTGGAACAAAATATGTGTATTGATGGTGCATATGAACTACTTATAATAGTGTTTAAGTGGGAAAATTACTTTCATTATGGAGGGAAATTGTATTTTCATTAGAGGGAGAAAAATGATGTGACTTGGTTATGATTGTCTGAGATTTTTGGAGGAAACTCTGATAGTGTTCATGCTGTTTCATGCAGAGTTTTGCAATTACTTGCAAAATTTTGCAATTTTGGTTATTTTATTTCATGTTTAAGTATTGCATATTTCATCCTCTCAACCCACTGATTTTTCGCGATGCCTATTGATGTTTACGTTATTGTAATTAATCGCGACTTCTACTGATTTCTGCTTCTCACTACAAGCTGTTTTTTGTGTTGATTTCGGGTGATTTTTATCCCGACCACTGACTTTGTAATTGATCAGATATGAAATGTAATTACATTGTGGTTTGTTGTTTAATTTGTTTGTAATTTGAAAATTTTATCTGTAGTGGTTTAATGTGACAAAATTATTTTAGGTATAATTTTGCGAAATCAGTGTACGTGTATTTTACTTTGTGTATATTGCAGGGGATGAGCAGTGTTTTTTAATTGTTAATATAGGACTTTATTTGTATTGCTTAATTTAATTAGTACATGAAAAGAGAGAAATTAGTACACAAGGGTAAATAGGTAATTATATCAAAAACAATCACCAACTATCATTAAAATACAATATTCCTTAATAACCATGCAAAAAGTAATTGTTTACTTATTCCCTGGACAGAGGGAGTATATTTTACTAATTATTATTTTTAATTAATAAATGAAATTTAGATACATTATTTTATTGTTCAAATTGAGTTATGTTTTACAATTAGTTTTTTAAAATTTAAAAATAAATTTATATATTAAATTGAGTACAAGCATTTTCTATTTAAAATGCTACAATTATTTTTCTAGGTTGATATGACTTTATAATATTCACATAATTGGAATATATCCCTTATTAGTTTGTTGATTTTGTATATATCGTGAACTGATTTTACATCAATATATTTTAGTATATTTATAATTTGTCGAAATTTTTAAAATTATCAAGATTATTAAATAAAGATGTGTTATATATTCTTTTAGCTTTTTTAAGTCTATTTATTTTTTATTTAGAGCATTTAACTATTTTAGAAATTTACATAATGCATTAGAATGCAACAATTTTCTACTTATTCTCCTAGTTGCATGGATTGTTTAAAAATTAAATATCATAACAATGAGCAACTCAATATATATAATTTCTGTAATCTAGTTGATTGTTTGTGTTTCTTCTTTTTTTTTTCAATACAAATTCGTTCTAAACCCTAAACCCTAAACCCTAATAATAACTAAATAGTGTATATATTTAATATTGCAGTTTTCTTCATCACTTGAAGAAGAAAGTGAAAAATAAGGCCCACGTTGAAGCGTCTATTAGTTCAATGTACGTTGTGGAGGAGCTTGCTGCTTTTTCAACTTTGTACTTTCAGGAACAAGCATCAGCAAACACAATTGACTTGCAACCGACTTTTGGCCCAGAGCCATTCTCAGTGTTTATGTTTCCAGGAACCTCAAGGGAGGCATCAACGATGCGGTATATATCTGAGGTATAATGTCATTGTGCAGACACATTTATTCTTCTAGACACACCTGAGGCAGAAACATATTTCCAGTGAGTACATCCTACTTATTTAGTGAAATTAAACTATTTCTACCTGTTTTTATAGTTTTGCGACTCACCTTTGGTTGTAGATTTTATTATGAGTGGACAGTCTCCCAGTGTAATGGAAACCAAAGAATGGTGGACCGGATGGTAAATGACGGATACTTATCATGGTTTAAGCAATTTGTATTGAACCAAAGTCATGGTAGATGCACTCGGACGTTACAAGCATTGGCTGCAGGTGTGAGCAACCGAATTCAATGTTTTAAAGAGTACATTATTAACGGTTACAGCTTCAACACATATGATTTTTGCCAAGATAAAGATTCTCAGAAATATGGCGTGTCGGTGGTCAGCAGCAGCAGTGACGGTGCAAGTACCGAGTACTTTGGCATTATTGAGGATATTCTTTAGTTTTCCATGAAGGTAGTTTCGTTCCAATGTAGGTGGGCTGATCCAAATCGAGGTGTGAGGTCACATAATCTTTACAACATTGTTGACGTGAATTTCCGTTACACAATACGTACAAAGGAACCATACATATTGGCCCAACAGACGAAACAAGTATTCTACACAACTTATCCTAACAGCAATGCAACCACAACAAACTGGACATCGGTGATTAGGACAAGACCACGCAAATTTGTTGAAATGACATGGGACGATTCTACCTACCAAGCCGATCGTATACGAGCACAACCAGCACCGGTTGACGGAAATCAATCCCACATGCTTGCGGATGTAACAGGAGAAGGTCCCCTATTTGCGGAGGATGTAGATATGCCCTCTACGAGTTATGCACACGATAGGGACAGTGAAAATTGCACAAGCGACCGTGGATGTAGCACGGAATGATCTCTAACAGGATCTTTCACTAGTTATAATGAATAAGTGCAACAAAAATTTACCTTTCAGGGATATGCATTGGCTAAAGAGAGCTTGAACCTCTGTCCACGAGACTAGATATAATAATTATAGTTTTATGAATGACTATAATATAAACGATTGTTTAGATATTTCAAATGTTGCTAAAATATTGAATATAATTATATTATTTAACTAATTTATATACAAATAAATTAATAAAACACTCCTACGGTGGAATCAATCAATTGTAATATCGATAAATATAATAAAAATACAATTCTATTAATTAATTTATACACACTATGAAATAAAAATAAAATTCTATTAATTTATTTATATACAACACAGAGTAGAAATTAAAGTAAACAAATATAAATAATTACTTTTAACTAAATTTGTCTCCAAAATAATAAAATAAAATAAATCTGAAAAGAAAAATCATATAAAAAATAATATGATAATTATATTTGAATACTACATGATTTAATTGTACTTATAATGAAATATAAAGTAAATTACTTTTTTTTTGTTTTATCAATGCAAAAAGATTACCTAAAGAATATATGCAATAAAATATCTATAAAATATACTAAAAATAAAATAAAATTATTTTTTAAATTTAATTTTACTGTTAACAATCTATCTAAAATAATGTCTTTTAAGTTATTTTAAATTTTATTTTTACCATTAACAAATAAAGATGTCTCGGAAGGTTCCGAAGCTAATTATGTATATATAATTTATGTTTTATAATTTATATGGCTTCGGAAGATTCCGAGGCAATGATCAAAAGTCATCCAAGGGACACCTCGGATCTACGGAGACACTTCTTTATATATTTAAAATTAAATTAGAAAATTAAAAGATTCGTAACTTTCTGAATCTAATTTTATATATATTTTATGGTTTTGGAAGCTTCCGAAGCAATAATCCAAAGTCATAAAACAATAGCTTCGGATTTTCGGAACTAATCTCTTGAATATTTTATATTTATTATTAATATTAAAAAAATAAAGTAATTTCAGAATATTCGATGCTAATTCTTTATATTTAATATTTTAATGTACCAAAATAAAAGGTTCGGTCTTTTCGAAGGTAATTTTAATTATTTATTCTCTGCCACCATTTTTCTCTCACCACTGTCTCTCTCTTCCCGCCTCTTCATTCCCCAATGTTAAGAAACCCTCGATTAGACATTGATTAAATAACTCAGTGATTGAACCCTCAAAAACTCTCATCTTCCCTTCCCGTTCTTTGGTTCATTCTTCTCTTTCCTTGGTAACGACCGCAACGCCGTTGAACTGCCGGCCTGTGACCCGCCGTTCACCCACCAGCCACGAACCGCTGGCCTACAACCCGCCGAACACCCACCAGCCTTGAGCCATCGGCCTGCGACCCGCCGTTCACTCCCTCCTCCCACGACCGGCGCGACACCCTGGCGTCCGACAGATCTTCCCTCTGTTGACTCTTCTCCCGAAATTTCAGTAAATATGAAACTTATTGGTTCTTGTCGATAGCTTTTACTTATATCGAGCTTTGGAATGAAATAGTCCACGGATTGTGGAAGCTTCTACATTTCCTGAGTGCGAATAATTAGCAAATCGAAGTGAGTGGGCTTGCGTAACAAAATGTGAGCTTGTCCTAAATTCCTAGTCTGATTGTATTATTCATGGTTTGTCATTTATTGAGTGTGAGCTTTTACTTTTCAACCTCGTTTGGGTTCTTTTTTCTACAGTACAAAACGTGTAATATAATCCCCGTTTTTGTTTTCAATTTCGTAAAAAGATGCCTTGATCCAAACATCTTGTTCAATGTTGTAGGAGCACTAAGTTCTGTTTGTACATTATGTATATATATATATATATGTTGTACTAAAAAAAGTGAGTAGGCAAACACTTGTTAGCTCACTTCTTTGCGAACCTTGATTTTGGGGTGAAAATTTAGTTATGTTTAACAGATAATATCACAATTAGTGTCCCCAGAAGTATTTATCCTTTTTCTGGAAAGGATTGAATAATACAGAGCAACAAAATAATAAAATAAATTTAAAGCACATAAACTTAGATTATTTGTTTCTTTATTTCTCTTGCATAGTTATACAGCCTTTTATTATATGTATGCATGCATATATTTATTATAATGTATGCGATTTTTATGAACCTTTTGCTATATCACCCTCTTGATAGTGATGGAAAATCACCCGCCACTTTACCCACACGACGAGGACATGTTCGACGAGGCAGGTCAGAACGCGGCCAGGCGTGAAGATTGTGACCAGCAACCACCATTGCCAGATAATCGACAGACTATTTCGTCATGGACTTTTCAGTAAAAATTATATAGTTCGTACGTATATTTTGTGTTTAACTATGTAGAAACTCAAGAGGTAAAGCTCACTGGTTGTCGTGTTGTGTTTTGTTATGAAGTGCCACCGCTGGTCTCAGCAAACAAATTCAAAAGATTATCACCTCAAATTTTACAGACGGGTGTATAACGTGGTCTGAAGTTCCAAGTGATACACGGGATCGATGGTTTCAAATGTTCATGGTTAGTTGTAATATTTTTATGACCTAACTTTCATAACACATTTACATATTTCTTTAATATTGAACTGGATTTTATCTATTCTTCAAGTAGTTTATATTCATTTATTTGGTGTGTTGAATATATAATCAAGCTTATAATGATTTATATAGTGTCATATAAGATGGATGCCTTAAATAAATGCAATAACATCTACTCTCTTCCGATATGACATCTAGAATTTATATCGCTGGGACGCTATGGATGAGGGGAACATTCAGACCTTGTTTGAGAGAAAAGGGTCTCAAATTTTACCGCGGGCTTTGAGGGATGCCCGAAAGAAATTAAAGATGCCACAATGGGTCAAGCCAGAGTTGCACGCTTGCATGATTATCAAGTTTACAAGCCCGGAGTCTCTAAAAATTCGGGAGCGCAACGTGGAAAACAAGAACAAAAATAAGGATGCCTTGCTGAATAAGTATAGAGGCAGAGCGTGGTTGATGGATCTTGTACAAAAAAAAATGGTGAGAACATGTAATTTAAATGTAAAGGTTTTCGATCGAGCTTAATTTTTACGGAAATAACCTCATTACCTGTTGCTTATTGTTTAATATAACGTTTGCATGGTTGTTTAATAGGAAGAGAATTTGGGTCGACCTCCCTCTGCAATTGAACTCCATGACCGTTGTTGGAAATAGAAGGATGGAACGTATCCTTCTACGAAGTTAGCCAAGATAGCCGTATACTAGTCTTTATTTATGTGCACAACATGTTTTACATGAAAAATGAATCTCATATGAAAAATTACTCGAATTTGTTGGAATTACATGTGTGTGATATTACTTGCAAAATGTTATGTTATTGTTGACACATCACTTTCTCATGTAATCTCTAATTGGAAATGTAGGAGAGTCTGAAGAAATACTGTGTAGAGTACGGCACGCAAACTACTTCTACAGTGAGAAATGAGCTTATCAAGTCTAATGGGGGCTACGACATGAAAGGTCGAGTGGCAGGGCTCGGCACACAAAGGAGCACCGCAAGAGTAGTATTAGGTGGATCTAGTTCGCATGCCGTCCATAACAACCCACAAGCTTACAACTGCCCCTCGAAAATAGAGATGAAAGCTCAACAAGAAGCTTTGAGACAGACCCAAGCTGCTCTTTAACATCAGGAAAAGATGATGATACAGGTATACATGTTTTGTTAAATTATTGAACGTTTAACATCTCGCTATATTTTTACTTTGATTATTTCAACCATGTACCAATTATTATGTTAGTGAGCACAAAATCAATTTTGTTTAGACATAATCTGTTGCGATACTTTGTTCGACTAATAAAAACAATCAAAGCCATGTAAAAAGAATTACACAATTATCTCTTCTATTTGTTATATAGTTACTTTGAAGGATAATATTGTTGTAATACCTTATGATATATTTGTGGTAGGTGCAACGGAGTGTTGCGATGATATTGGAGGCTTTTTTCTCGGGAAAAGCCCCCAACACCGAGCTTTTATTTCCACTTCTTGCCAGCCAGGGCCTTCTCCAAAGCCTATTTATTGCAACAAATAAAAATGATATGGTTGGAGTGATCAATGGGGATGATGATGTACGCGACAGATCCGGGAATGACGACGATGATAGTAGGGACTCAGATGAAACAATACCTCCAACTGAGTATTAATGACGTCTGTAAGTAAAAACTAAAAACTCTAACTTTCCTAGACATTTTTTGCATTCTGAACTGGTGGCCTAGATATTGTGCATTCTGAATTGGTGGCCGTGACTACTCTTATTTTGTTATATTATGAAAATCTCCCATTCGACGTGCCTTTACATTTTTTCGGAGGCTAATCGATTGTATAGTGTACAATTGAATGTGAATTTCGATGAAAACGTATATTTTGTAGCATTTTGTTGAAAGTGTTCGTGATGTCTATGATTTTGGTGGATTAATAATTTTCTTTATATTTATAATTTATTTTTTATATTAAATATTTAGTCATTGTTATAACTCCCGGTAAAAATAATTATATTTTTTTTATAATAAATATAAAAATTGAGAGAAAAACAAAAAAAATTTTAAATACTATCCAAGCTTCGAATCAATACTACCACTGAATGGCCTCAGATTTTCCTTTTCCGAGAGCATTGGAAATAACTTCGGAAATATTCGAGGCCATGTGATGCATTGGTAAGTCGAACAGCCTTGGAAATATCTGAGGCCATGTGATGCATTGGTGAGTCGAATAGCCTCGGAATAATCCGAGCCATGTAAAGTGCATTGGCGTGTGGGTTGAATAGTCTCGGAAAGTTCCTAGGCTATTCAACTCATACACCGGGCAGTGTAGTGCAACAATAGTTTCGGATATTCCGAAGCTTATGAAATTAACCTCGGAATTTCCGAACCAAAAAAAATGGCAACGGCCTTTTCTCTGCAAGGACAGTTCCGAGACGAAATCCGAGGAAAAAATTAATTTGCCTCGGAACTCTATTAAATTCCGAGGTAAATTCTCCGAAGCTTTTGTAACAATTTATGGTAGTGTCAATATGTGAATTCTTAAGTCTTCCTCGTGGATAGGACTTTATACAAGTACCAATTCATCAACAAGCTAGCGCATTTGATGAAAGAAGTCGGCAATGTAGCGTGCATCCTTTGGTTTTTTTGCTAGTTTGGATTTTAGAGTGATAACTAGGAATCGGAAGATCCGGCATAGCTTGCCAGAAGAGATTCCTAAGCTTGTGTAATATGGAGACTGATGCCAAGATAGGTTGAATAGTGTTGAAGCAACTATCAAGAATAGCATAAATAAGGATTTGATCTTGCCAGGACCAAGTGTCATAGGAAACATTAGGAGTTTGCTTCTCAGCTTCAAGATATTAAGGCAGACGCGGATAGGAACCATCGATATACTTGAGAAGATCAAAGCCAATGAGAGTAGATTAAAGTTTCTTGCACCAAACGGGTAAGTGTTGGTGTGAGTTTAATTGGGAGGTGAGTTGGAGCATTGAGTTGAACAATAGAAAATTCACTCAATGAAGAGTTTATGGTGATTATGAAAAAAAAGAAAAAAAAAGTTTCAGAGAAACAAAATGGGATCGATTGAACTTTTTTTAGTTTGGCAAGCTTTGATACTGATGAAGTATTTATTGTCATATATTTCTGTAGATACATTATAAATTAATTAATATATGATAGATTCCTACTAATTTTGGTATAATTACGATTGATGACAGGTTGGAGCAATTTAAGATAATCATGCCCATTATCTGGGTCAAAAAAGAGAAAATTGTAGGATTGACTGGGAAGCCATGAATTTTGGCATAATTATAGGCATGAAGATGGAAAGTAAGAAATTACTTTGATTGAGGCTTGAACGAAGGAGCAATTAGCGCATTGATGAAGGTTTAATTATCTATAAAATAGGAGTGAGGCATTGGACTAAAGTATCACAACTTATACTTACACTTTATATTTTAACTTGGAGATTGGGAGAGGCAACTTGAGAGGAAGAGCCACCGGAGTATTATCATTATTTTATCACTTTTATTTATTTTTAAGCATGAGTAACTAGTTTTTCTTATCCTAGTACGAGGTTTAATATAAATTCTAAATTTGGATTTGTGAGATTATATTTTGATTTAAATTCAATCTTATTTATTAAGTTGGTATTCGTCTAATTTCAATAATTCATGCTTACAATTATTTTATTTAATGTTTTTACTGCGGTCGAGTTTTAGATTGATTTAGTAATTGTGTGTCAATAGAACACTTATATTCGTAATAGTGTATTTGTTTGATGAAGTAGTAAATAGGTTGACAAGTTTAGAATTGAATTGTGTAATAAAATAATTTAATCTTATTGTAATTTATTGAATATTTGAATTAGATTCTTTCTCGTGCTATTTTCAATTAGGAAAATTAATATTTGGTTGTACCTATATTATTTCTTTGATTGCATATGCGGTCAATTGGTCCATACCATTGTCTCCAATTAAGTAAGGAAAAATTAGGCATTTTTGTTATCGTACCTAATGCCTATAACCAATTTACAATTGAACAACAAGATTAATTAAGATCGATAATCAAATCTTTAATTCGATTTCTTATTCACTATTTGGGCTAGAAATTTAATCTCATTGAAATTCATTTTGCATTTCTATCACTTATTTTAATTGATTTAGTTGAATCTTCTAGCTTTTAAAAATACTTGAATTTGTGGCAGTACATGAATTAAATACGTAATTCTTGTGGATCGACATCGGCACCGTTTACTACACGTAGATTCGGTATTAAAAATTTTTTATTGAAAGCTCCAAAGGCTACCAGATACCATGTCATTTTCGTTATACTTCACAATTGAGTATTGGCTCAATTTATAGCCAGGTACATCTACAATTAAGGAATAAATCAAGAGGTGAGACTATGTTAGTGCGCCATTTATAGTATAAACTAAATAACTGCTTGCATTCGGGCATCAACATATGGCATAATATTTGGCTAAGTGATGTAGTTAATAATTCCCCCCTCTCATGATGTGAGTATATTTTAGTCATCAACTATGTCTTAAGTGTCTTAATTCTAACTTAGAATATATATATATATATATATATGTTTCATGTGTCTTGTTTTCGCATGCTGCTTTCTAACCAATCTTGGGAATCATGCATAAACCATTGGGAATCATAAATCACTTTTAGATAAGAGTTTTTAAATTTTAATTTAAAATTGAAAATAGTAAATAATATATATCTATTTTGTGTGATTTGTGAGATAAAATAAGATTTGATGTGATAATTATAATGAATTTATTATTGATGAATAGGGCAATACTTTTAAAAATTATATGACAATAGATCCGTAGATTCTAGGTTATCTTTAGTTTTCTTGTTAATTTGATACCCTTAATTCACTTCTATATATTATTTCTTTGATAGTCCCAATCATTTTGAATCCTTCAATTGAATCTTGTTTGAATATTTAATAAATCAATTAAATTAAGTATTTATTAGGGGCGTATTTGTTTGGCATACAAATTTTTATTATTCATCATTTTTTTTCCAAACTTATCTTTTATTTTTTATGTTATATTAAAAAGTTATTTTGTATTCAAATTATTACATCAACTCCGATTTATATCTCAAACTCCAAACAAACGCAGAATTTACTCACTATATTAACAGCACATAGTAGAACTATACACAGTACATATTAATATCTTATTCCAAAAAAAGATTATATGTTAATATTTCCTCCGTCCTATAACTATGTATCCATTTGCTTTTTGCACGGGGTTTTAGAAATATTAGTATTATATTGGGATGTAGTAAGAATAAAGTAGAAATGATTAAAATAACCTTATTAATATTGTGTAATATAAAAGTAATGTCATTTGTGTAATATATTTTAAATTGTAAGGGGATTTGTAATGCTAGGTAGATAATATAATTACTAAAAAGGAAATGAATATTTTGTTACGAGAGAGACTAAAATAAAAAAAATAAATAATTTGTTATGGAACGGAATAAGTATATGCTAACTATACGCAAATACACGACACTTTTTACCTCGGCATAGCACATATTAACCTAGTAAAATAGTTATTATTAATTTACAACACATCATAATTGAGTAGGGGTAATCTACACCACTGCTACTTAGCTCTAATCATCACAATATCTGGCCCCCTAACCTCTTAATATCAATCTACTTAAAATTTAATATACGCTCAAGTTTGTAATACCAACTAATACTATGTTCTAGCACAAAAGTGTATAAATTTGTTTTATTTTCACAACCATTGGCCAATGATTCCCAACCCTATAAAAATGGGGTTTGGCCCAACTAGATGACAAATTGCCCAACATAAATATTTTGAACATTTTTTGGCTTTTTTAATTGAAAAAATATAAAATAAAATAATTATATCTTAAATAGCAAAACAGGTTAGCGAATAGGATGGCAATGGCCCCGGTAGACTCAAAGTCTTCACCTGGATTCAATTCATTTACTTGAAATCGGACCCCCAATTATTCGGATATTGAATCGGGTGTGAAATAGATATTGTGTACTATAATTGGATCCGGATCGGATCTCAGGCCTAATGATAGATCCTATCCGGATCCGAACTCAATTAATTTATTAATAATATATCAGTTATATT